AATCTATCCGGCATGGATTCTCCTGTTAGATATCTATTTTAACATGGTTGTTTGACAAGGGTCTGTCCTTACTGTTGTCTCACACTGTCCAATCCTCATCCACGTCTGTGTTTCAACATAAGTGGAAAACATTCTGTTGTTAATCTATCCGGCATGGATTCTCCTGTTAGATATCTATTTTAACATGGTTGTTTGACAAGGGTCTGTCCTTACAACCATTGTGGGTTATAGGGTGGCCCTGTCATCTCCTTTTCATTTTTGCCATGTGTTTTCCTCTCTAGTTATTTTTCTTCCTTCCATATCCTACATTTACTCCTGCTCTAATCTGGATTGTCTCCTGTGCTTTACTGTGTTACATATTGAGCATAGCACCCTTCCATGGCTCTTGCTTTTGTTTGTTTATCCATTAGAATCTGTCCATTTCTTGTGATATTTCTATTATCACCCTTATCAGTTGAGTTCATCAGGTTATCCGTGTTGTGTATTCCTTCCTTTCTTCTAAATCTTGTCACTTGTTCTGTGTATTGTCCCAGCTGATCCATCACCTCCCAATGTCCTTGGCTGCTCATTTCTGTCTATTGTGACTCCAAGTATACAGTACTTATCAATTTTAGTGGAATCAAAATAGGGATTTATATCTTTACAAAATAATGTCGACACTATTTCCAGTCCCAAGTTATAGGCTTGAGAATATGATCTTCGCATTTTGATTCAATTTGTTTTTGTAATTTTTGATGATCCCTATTTGCCCTTTTTATATCAACAATTTTTACTAATCTTGTTTTATTTATTTTGTTGCTTTTTTATTTCATTAGGAACAACTATCTACCTTCCAACAAACTTACTGTAGATGGTAAAAAGTAATTTTATATACCAGACTTTGAGAGCTTGAGCATTCGTATCTGCTTCTGATTTTTGAACATTATTTTATAAGTGTGAGGCTTGAAAAAAGAAATTAAATCTGATAGAAAGTATATTTACATGTGTAACACCCCTGTTGTCTCACACTGTCCAATCCTCATCCACGTCTGTGTTTCAACATAAGTGGAAAACATTCTGTTGTT